AAAGAAGTAGGAACATCCTCCCTTCCTTCCTCTTCCTCTGAAGACATTTCCTTCACAAACGCCTTTTGTAGCTGCTTCTGTAGATCAGAGACACGAACACCATTTTCATGTTTGGCTATGATTTCTTTTCACTTTGCTTCTATCATTGTCTTTCTTTGGCCCCATGGTGTCCTATTTAATAATTTATAAAAAAAAAACACAAAACACACTGAAATACAAGAGAAGGCACAGTGAATTCGAGCGAACGAAAGCTACACAGCAACTGACCATCTCGCCGATCGGTGTTGGTGACTCGGGGTATTTTCTTCTTCTACGAATACTGCCAACGCTGATACTCCCAGCTTATTGCTCCACGATGTTGACGGCTTACGTGTTCGTAAATCGAGACACAGTACGTCATCCGAGACGCTTTGTGTTCGGAAAATTTGTTCGTAAACTGAATTGTTCGTGATCTGGGGCATTTGTGAACCGAGGTTTGACTGTATTCAGTTTCTCAATGTCCTGATGATATTATGTTTTTGCACGTATATTAATTTCTTCCTCTTATATCTCTTGAATTATCCATTATCACAGCAGTTCGCTTAAAACCTTTCACTTCACCACATAGCTACTTGTACCCTTCTTCTAACGATATCTCTGACTCCTCCTTCCCTTTCATTAGGCCCAGCATTTATCTCAATCTCCTCATCCCTTATGGTCCAGATCAACTCATGTGTTTTACCTCCCTTGTTACTTCTTTACACAATACCTATGGCTTACGACCTCTTGGCAACATAACAGCCTAGCTGCACACCCTTCAGTGCAAATGCATGCTATGCAATTAAACACTTTGCCCGTAACACAGAATAGATTAATAATGATGCACTAAGTGAAGAAACTTTACAGCTTTCAATGAATTCCAAGAATGTGAGAATAAATCACAATGCACATTCTCCAGTGGCCACTTGGAAGGTAGTTTATTAATGATGCTGCGCCAATGAAGAGGTTTATTTATAACTGAATTTTGTGAAAATATGCTTGTGTGTTGATAGAAATGAAGTAACTGGCTCAGTTCAAAGTAGGGGGACAAAGAAAATCAAAAAATTCTGAACCTGGATAACTGGGGCCGCAGTCAAAGCACTCATGGTAATTTCTTAATATAAGCTGTAATATTATGGCTTCAGTAAAGTTACTCAGTAAGACTGAGGAAAACTGAAAATTTCACTTCAGCCAGCTCAACTCACAGCACAGTTGAACTTCAAGGTATCCACCTTGAAGTTCCTCAGTGCCAAATCATCTGGTGTGATGGAACTGCTCTTTCCATACGAGTGAAAGATATTGTAATTCTGAGAACTCTAGGAGTCAAAAGGAAGTACTGTACATACCCAAATGTGAGACTCCTCCTCCAGTGAGTCATCAAGCATGCTCTGAGTGAACATGTTTCTGTTAAACAGGTTTTTCAGTTCATCAGGAAGAAGTCGGTTTCTGACTGTTCTGAGTAACTTCTGGGCAGGAATGATGTATCGATGTTGATCAATAACGAGATGGTCTTCACTTGCATCCTAACAACAATGTAGTTACATTACTGACCAACTGACTGGAAGTACGTCACAGGCAAAAATACGTAATTTCGTAAGCATACATACTACAGAATGTCATCGAAATTCATTCAAGAGCCATTTATCGCATGCATGAAACAGTCAACAAGCGGGCGTTCTCATATTGCTGTGCAACGCCCTACCAGATGTGAACAATTAATTCCTACACCGTCTTTATCTGTTTGTGATTTATTAAATGATGCTGTCAGTAGCTCAGATTATATAGCATCACTTTAGTTTGACATAAAACTTGGTGTGTCCAGTTTTCTAAGACATGCAAAATTTAGATGTTGATGTTGTTCTGGGTTATGACACATTGAGGACTTAAGTCCTGAAGATGGAGACGGTATATTTCTCTGCAATGTTTGTATTTATCTACAAATTCACGCAGCATTGTAACCCGCAAGAAAAACATCAACAACTTCACTGTCATGAGAACCTGAAACCTCACAGAATTTATATATTCACATTATGCTCCAGGCAAACAAACATAAATACATTCATGGGAAATTTCAGAAAGTATAGGATGAGCTTGGCAGGGTGTGCAGCATGCATGGAAAATGAGAATTGTGTACAATATTTTGGTTGGAAAGCCTGAAGGGAAGAAACTACTTGGAAAATGTGAGAGTACATGGGAGAATATTAAAATAGATCTTAGGAAAATAAATTGGGAGACAGTTGATTGGATTCATCTGGTTCAGGATAGGAAGTCAAGGATGGCTGTTATGAACATGATATTGAACCTACAGGTTCCATAAAATGAGGGGAATTTCTTGATTAGTTGACCATAATATTACGCAAGTACACGGACAGTGAGTGCTCTGTTATAGACTGTGTTCCTGCCCCATGAAAACAGTACTGAATATTTTTCATGTTGCATTCTCTTCAATACTTTTCAAGAATACTCCCATTTGTGCCATCAATGAAACACGTTTGAGGTGTGGTTCTCCATCAGGTCTCGTCCTCCCATCACGTCTTCCTGGGATGGAGCTGTAAAAACCATGATTACATTAGATTAATTGTTAGCTAGAGTCTCCAAAAATAAAATGTTGGTCAATTTCAGGAGAGCTGATCTTATATTTTTATATATGTTTATTCTATGAAGACAAGGTGGAGAAATCCAAGTTTAGTTTAAATCAGGCTGCCATGGTGGCCCATATGAAGTTGACAGCCTTCTGGGATATTGCACTGCGTAGTCTCGCAGAAATTGACCAGCGTTTCAGATGCGTGCACTGCCTTCATCATCTGAGCAATGAGTAAGTTCAGCATGGAAAAGCAATTTGAATTTCTCATCTCTAATCCTGAGCCTAATAAATACAGTCTGCATTCCCCCACTCACATTTTAAACATCCATCTTTATAATAATATAATCTAATCTGTTCCTAGTTCTTTCAAGTCCTTACTGGCCTCTACCTTATTTATAAAGAAACTGCACTCTTCCATTTTCCTGAGTTGAAAGCACTCGATTACTTAGTTGTCCATCAATATTCAAACCAAAAGAACTTTACATAAAGTTTTGTTCATCACAACCTTATTTTTGAGAGAATTTCATTTCAATATCATAATTAATTTGTATTGATCTTTGAAGTTTGTTCTACAATACTTTCATTAACTCAAGCAGACATTCGATAGAATATAATTAAAAGAACACGTTAATTACCTAAGTGATGTACTGTACAACAGATATGAAAAACGTCAAAATGATGATGGGATATCCTTCAGCCCATATTCCCAACAATATCTATGATACAGTACCCTTATTTCTTGTCATAATAGCTGGAAGTGCATTGACTTCTTTATTTCTGGACATATGGTTGGATTCAGTTGGTTTCTGCAATAAAAGAATATTATAATTCCAAATGTAATCTTAACATCTTCATTGCCACACATGTAAATTGCAGTTCTGGGTGCTGATCACACAAGAGTACTCAGTCAGAAAAATGAACATGTCAGAATCAATTTGTTTTGATTTCTCAGAGCCTATAATATGATCTGTGACACATCTGTGGCAATAACATATTAAATGTAGAGGAAATGTTTAGATAACCAGGCACAGTGAAATCTTACTTCTGGTATGACTGGCTTTCTATACACAATACTGAGATAGAAACTTAAATTAGTAGTGCTTACTGAAAGGAAGTAGTCCAGATCTGGCACCCTCCGACTTCCATCTCTTTGGGCCCCTTAAAGATGCTATCCGCGGAACAAGATTTGAAGATGACGAGAGCGTGATTCAAGCAGTGAGGACATGGCTACGTGCACAGGACAAGAGCTGGTACCGGCAAGGCATGCATGCCCTTGTTCCACGCTGGCGTAAAACCGTACAAGTTGATGGGGACTATGTGGAAAAATAGTATGTGTAAAGGAAACATTGATTTATATTGTCACTAAATTTGAGCCATCTTGAATAAATATGTTCTGAGGAAAAAAATGTGGGGCATTACTTAATGAGCGACCCTCGTATATTAACCTCTTTCACCTTTTCATATTATCCAGTGAGAGTGACTTTCATCTATCTTAATTTAATTTGATGTCAAACCCAAATCTCACAGCCAACAAAGTGATGAAATCTCTGTAATTTGACAAGAGAAGAGGCTCATTAATTTATAAAGAAAATACAGAAACTAAACAATGTGCTTCTTGACCAATGACTTAAAGAAAAAACATAGAATTACATAAATTCAAAGCTACTTTTAATTTAACCACTTTCTTGGAACAGTGTCATTCTTGAGAAACCAACAGTTGCTCAACCAGTTATGGAATTTATTTCTAATATTACAAATGCATTGAAAGGGGAAAAAAAAGTATTGTATGGATTCTAAATATGTCAAATAATAATCATAGTAATAATAAAAAAATAGGAAACAAATATTTTTAAACGAATGAACTGCCACATTAACTTGAAATGGGTGAGATGTCTGAACAGTGGCACTGAATGTGTTAAAGAATAATAACATTGTGCTTTCCAGTGACATTACTATGTCATTCTATACTTTGTTGCCCTGTCAATGGTTCCTAAAAGCAGTCCTGACTTTGGGTATTTTCTTATTACCAATAGAATCTCAGGAAGACGTTTAAGTGTAAGGAGACAACAGTACAGCCCTGCCATTGACTCATCAATTCAGTCCACTGTGAAAATTACTTGATTAGCACAAACAGCACACAATTTATTGACAGAAAACACAATATTAATGTATAATTAAGTAAGATTCTGAAGACAAAACATAATACTTATTTCTTTTGTCATGTCTCAAACAGTGCTGACTCAAAGAACTGTACAATGGTTATAAGCACCAATAAAATTTATGTACAGGATACAAAATTATTTTTTTTCTTTCATAAGTGAGAAAATTTGTCATACAAACATGCCTATCAACAATCACACCATACAATCTACAAAGGAAACTACATGAATTCATATGTGAAAATAGGGCCCATTGAAAATTGCACAAACATACAAATATTTTTTGTCCAAAATGGAAGTTTAGGAAACAGTAATTAGTTCAAAACCACTCAGTAATAAAATTAATCCGCATTCAGTACTGAAATAGTTTTAAGGGAAGACAGGTGGAGGTACCGGCCACACATGCGATATTTGCATCTCTGGTATGAACTTCACAAACATGGCAACAGACCTTGTGCTCATAAACAGTCACACTAAAATGATACAATTTTAACATCAATGTTTGCATTTCAGTCTCTCAGTACTAGATGAACCAAACAGGAAGCATATAATCAACATATACAATTTATTCATAAAAATTACTACGAAATTATGTACAGACAAGACATATCCCACCCTAATATGAATTCACAATATGTATGCATCAGATAATGAAATAAATTTCTGTCTATGAACTTTTCTGTAAAATCTGTAAAACTGACATACAAATTAAATTCAATGGAACACCTTAAGTAATATTTAATACATTCCCAGTTAGTGTTTCCTGTAACTAGAAACCTTTAACATTTCAAAATGGGTACAGAGTAGACATTACACTTGGGTAACTACAGCAAATGCAGAAGAATAAGACGGCCATCTAAAAGTTCAAGTGTCAGAACAATATACACTGTCTCCTTCAGCACCATGCCACAGACTGTTTACTGTTATACAGAATGCACAAGAACCATTTATGATAAATATTTTGATTTGAAAAGCTAAGTGGTGTTAAAATCCAGACTGTACAATTGAGAAGGCACGAGGCAGTAACAGAATCTGAAAACACAAGTAGCACATCTGTCTTCTCAATGCTTTGTTGCTATCTTCCAAGGAACAACTAGATGTTCATATTCCTTTGGAATATGACTGAATAAAGGGTTCAGTACAATTCAAATAGGCCCTTTTGATATTCTTTTAAAATGTACATCATTACCAAATGAAACAATCTGAAGACTGGTACAATTCACATTACTGCAATATGAGGGCAGTGCAATAGTACATACTGAATAGAATAAAAATAGGAGAGTAATAGCATTTTCACACAATAAGAACTTACAAATCATATATAAGTGGTACAGTTTTGATCAAAGCAAAATTCATTTTGACAACAGTCATAATCTTCTTAGAAGTTACAATATAATAAGCAATATTAAATTGTTACAAATTCAACGGTGTCTACCGCAGGAATACTGAACATGCAATTACAAAACTCAGCAATGATCCAAGGTCGACTAGCACATTCGATGCAGATGCTCTGAATGTTTCATGACACTGTGATTCCACTAGGACAAAGCATTTACTACAAAGATATGGTAATACATCAAAAACACTGGGATTTTAAAACTATAAAATGCAACTGTTGATGATACTCTTCTGGGTTGTGATACCGAGTGGATTCATGTATACTGTTTCCATCAGCCCTAAAGACAGAACAGTCTGTTTCTCTGAAATATTGGTACCTACCTATGAGTCCACAGCTCAGAACATTGACATCAATACTGAGAGAACCTCAAATCTCATATAAATTAAATATTGAGCAATGAATCACAAGTACACGAACTTATAATACGTAATATACTTGATCATTTTGAAATTTTAACTCCCACACAGAGCAGTGGTGTTTAGTGAATAGCAGAACACATGGCCCTTTTTGTGTGAGACCACCACTAGTAATCATTTTGATTACTCAATGAATTCATTAATAAGTAACTGGTTAAAAAGCACAACCTCATGAAAGTCATTTTCAAATGAGACAATACAAATTTTAGGTTAAAACGATGCCTACATTAATGACACTGTGTACCTTGAATCACCTGCTCACCACTTCTTAAGTTCTAACAAGCAAACATAGTACGAGCATAATGCACTCAAGGCCATTGAACTCTTGAGTAGGCACACTATTCTTAGTCTTGACACATGTGGTAATAGACTTTCAAAAGATCTGAACCTTTCCTTAGGACAATATTCTTGCAGAATATAACAGAACATCGCAACTGTGCTCTAACTATAAGATACATTAAAGATGCAAAATTTAGAAAGGATTATTACAAGTAGTCTCGGCTAGTGTAAATTATGCACAGAGATAAATAGAAAGTGTTTTATTATTAACTTAAAATTTGTGGTCACCTCTGTCTACACTTGGAAGTGTTTAGAGAAAAGCGGTTGTCCTAAGTTCTTGCCTGCGATTCTAAATTTCACAACACATGACCTAGTATCAGCATTTTCTTGTCTTACAAAGCAACCATCATTCTTCTATTTTCATATTTCAGCTTTATAATTAAAAAATCCACAAATTTTAATCCAGACACCAATAATGACAAATCTTAATTTTCTCACACATCTTGCTTTACCACGTACCTACAAAAGTCTGTATTCCTGGATGTTGTTCTTCACACATACAACAAAGATTAGATTCTTGTGTATCACTACCTATTACAAATATAATAAATATATTATACTAAAGTAAAATGTTCAACTATATTAAAGACATATGATATAGATATCAGCCGACATTGGATGTACCTAATTCTCCAAGATGAATGTGGGAATAGCACTTATCACTGCTCTGTTCTTACTAAATTCAAAATTCTAAAACATACTAACTTCTTATTTTAAGCAAAATAACTGCTGCTGTTGACACAAATCTTTTATTTACTAAATGCTGCTTTATCAACTGCAATGGTCAAATAACATATTAATTAACAGGTTAATTATGAATCATGGAGAACAGAGTAAGAAACGGGCACTGCTTATTTCAAGATGATAATCTGCCATTTGCAAAAGACTTTAGTAAGGATAACCTACTTCTGGGCCAGTAATCAAACCTCAGTCCTCCTAAATATGGATGCTAACCATTTAACAGTGTCACTTGCTTAGCTGTTAATAACACCATTATCAACTGGAGCTTATGCTATGCCTGCCAAAATTTGATGGAGATAAGTACTTAGAAGTTGCTTTTCTATTCATGTAAGTTATACACAGGATTCAGTAATGATGAAAATATAAGACTGTGAAATACAACTTCCAGGTTGTTTTTATCCACCACTGTGTGAATGATCTTTGTGACATGTGTAAGATGCTATGAGCCGCCAACAGTGACTTGCCTCAACAGGGATCTAGAAATATGCTTGCTACTCCCCACAGGCAAGTTTACAGAGACCAGTGACAAGTGCATTTTTAACCCTGGTTTACCTGTACTAAAAACACAATGAACTATTTTTCATGTTATGAGATGCAGAAAGCAAATTTAAGTATTAATTAATTTTGTTCCCTCATCATACCATTTAAAGTAGTTTTTAAATATCCCATATAAAAATATTTGTATTAAGTAAACTCTGAGACAAATGAACGTAGCTAACAGCTCCTGGAACTGTGATATAAATGTGCCATTCGTAATGTCAGAGCAGTGGTGTTCAAGCTGTGTGCTGCAAGACCCATCACAGGGAGAACGTGATGCAAGGGCCATGCAACTAGTTAGCTCAAAAAAGATCCTGAAGGAAATTATTTAGCTGACTGCCAAACAGATAGGAATGCAGTATAGCTCCCAACACAGCACTGACACTGGTATTTTTGGTAGGAAATTTGTTTGTATTATGTTGACATTTTAAAACAGAACAATAAAGGATATGGTGAGAGGGGCTGAGAGATTTGGGATTTGGGGGGAGGGGGATAAAGAATCTCTGACTGTTGTGGAGAAACTGACAAAGCACAACAATTTCAGGTTCAAAAGTTGGTAATGACAAAAAAGAAATGAATTCCACTTACTTTATCAATGATGAAACAAGAATCCACATGATGGGAATCTGCATTACCATGCATATAATAAATAACACATTTCAACATACAACCATGATACTGAAATGCATAAGCTTGAAAACCACTGTCGTAGTGCAATGACAGGATCAAAGATAAAATTATGTACAAAGTATACATATAAATCCTGTTATCCTCTAGGTGAGACTTGAAACAAGGATACCTAGGTCAGGATACAGAACACAAAAGCACAACTCACAATGTTAAAATGAAGGTTTCTTATCAATAACATTACATTTCAAAACTGTTGTTAGTCAAAAAAACTGCAGTATCTTGTCCAAAACACACAAGTCCAGATATATTAACAACTGTATTGTGGTTTACAATATTTAACACCATAGATTTCAGCCTATTTTAGCATTCTTGGGAGTGACTGATCCACCACCTTGAAATGTTCTCCCTATATTTCTGTGTACATCTCCCAAGCAGCAGTTCTGCCTGATATGAACAAAGTGAGACTGCCATTGCCAATCTGCTGATTCTGGAAGCAAAGGTTTTATCAGAAAACAGGCTCTAATATTATTAAATGTCACTTTCTATATACAGATGGTGGTATTCTGGGCCAATGCATCACATATCAATGAACAGAAGACCACTATTTATACTACATTCCTGTCAAAACCTAAAATCCTACATGACTTCCTGCTTTACTTCCATTTTTACACATCATATCAAAATACTTTACTCTTTATCAATGATGTAATTTAACAAGATGTTTCTTACATCATGTACTACTAACTGTGAAACAAAGAGTCTTAAGTTTTTTAAATACAAGGGTTGCTCCAAAACTAATGCCTCCAAATAGTTTTCCCACTTGTGATGGTGCATATAAAATGCAATATCAGGTGAAAATTTAAAGGCTGCTGCTAATATCCTGCAAGTTTCAACACATGTCAGGTGATAGGGCCATATAAGTCTGTAAAAATGAGGGTGACACTGATGTATGAAAGAGTGGTATGTTATTTTGTTCCTTAATGTAGAGAACATTGCAAACAATGACATTCTCAACATTTGAAGAACGTTTATGAGGACATGGCAGTCAATATGAGCAGTGTGGTGGTGGGTTAGGCATAGCAGAGATGGTGGTACTGGTTTGGACAGGCTGCTCTCACACTGCAGTGATGGTGAAAAATGAGAAGTGAGTGGAACAAATAATTTGTGAAGGCCAAGCTATGAAGACCTGAAAATTGTGCGTAAAAG